AAAGATCTGCGCTTCAGCGCAATTGGGATCAACATCTCCTTTCGGCAACGCTTCTCTAGTATCCCGTCTCATCCAGATTCCATATACTTGCACATCTGAGGCACACCAGTTGTCTAACAAACCTTTGTCTTTGTGACTTTTTTAACTTTACCTGCCTTCTACGTCCTTACAGAGATATTCTATTCATACTAGATCACGGGGGATACATGTAGTTGGCGACAACTGCTCATTTCTAGTTTTCTAGCTGCATTTTGTTTATTTATGCTGTTATCGATGTAATGTATGCTTTAATAATTATCGAAATAAATAAATCTAAAAAAATCTAAATCTAAATCTACCAATCAGTGATAACATGCTGGTTATTATTACAGTACATCGTATTTTTATTGCCACCAAAAATACCCCAGCATAAAGAAATGTGATCTATATTTCAAACATGAATCCACTAACATCAATTAATTTCCAATAACATCAAGTTTTTTTAACGAACGTTTACTTAATACTGTTGATTTCCTTGCGCTCATAGAAGGGTAGCATCTATGGATGGTCATCGTACCCTATATCTGTAATTACAAGTCACAGTGCCTCCAACTGTGAGCCTTGGTTACAGTCATTATGTATGGTATTTCACTGCATCTGCATTTTCAAGTGCACATGTCAATATTGAGTCGACTAATAGTGACGTTGGTACAAACACATTGCAGACCTTACCAAATATTTGGTGCTAGCACTTTAGGTAGCTAGCCCGTTCACAGTATACAGACCCATCAGCAAAATAACATTTCGAAACAGCATCAGAACTGTTGAAAAATACCAAGCACCTATATCCTGCCAACAGCTAAGGTTCTCCTATTTGAACACTGTAATAGCCTCAACTGCACACGGACACATGCACGCACGCACGCACGCACGCACGCACGCATGCAGACGCCACCCACTCCTATTATAAGCAATGTCACTGATAAGCACATAACTAAACATTCAGACAATACGTACTCAACAGCCACTACTGCAATGTATGCGAATATATCTCTCTCTCTCTATATATATATGCTGATATAATAAAGGTATGCACCCAATAAGCGGAAGCACTGATGACAGCTATAACACAATGGCATATACTTGTTGCATTTTCTACGTCGAACTCAATATTACTTTTTGGTCACAGCAGTGTAAAAAAACGATTGTCGCACACATACACGGATTATATGGATGCTTATCATTGCAATCACACACTTACACTAAATATATATATATACTAAATATTCTTTGTCCCAAGCAGTAATCAACTATATATGCAATCTTTGTGATACACACACGTATAGGCCAGGACACACTAGGCAATTAAATCGGGTGACTAAATCGCCCGATTCTATTGCGCGAGTCGAGTGGACACACTAGGCGATTAAATCGGGCGACTAAATCGCCCGATTCTATTGCGCGAGTCGAGTGGACACACTAGGCGATTAAATCGGACGACTAAATCGCCCGATTCTATTGCGCGAGTCGAGTGGACACACTAGGCGATTAAATCGGACGACTAAATCGCCCGATTCTATTGCGCGAGTCGAGTGGACAC